ACGTTTTTGTCATCTTGTGTCTGCACAATTCGCTAAACTTATGAATTTCGAACAGCAGCTTTTGAACAATCTACAGTGTTGATTGTCTGCGTTTTGCTGTCCATACTAGAAGAGATAACAATGTTAATGCCATTTTATTAATGGTTCCTTGTGATTCTATTTTTGGCTTTTACTACTGAACAAGATAATGACAATTTACTAGGCATTGTCCTTAATAGAAAAAGCATCCGTTAAGAGAATCTGAAAACCAGGAAATGTCATTACGTTGTTTTATTACTACCCAAGTCCCATAATAGTTGCATTTAAGATTATCTGCGATTACAGACACTTCAGAAACTAAGGTTAGGTGAGGTTGGTTAATTTATCAATTGACACTTGATGGGCCATTTGGTGTTGACATCAATATTTATCGTGATTGATTCAAAAGGTAAACACTGGTTCAGTTTATACTTGAGACAAAAGCTAAACTTTGATCTGGTGTATACTTGAGGCGAAATATAAACCTTTGTCGACTTTATACTTGAATTAAAACGTAAACCTTATACAATTTATACTTGAATGAAAAGATAAAGCTTGAAGCAGAATATCAACACAGGTCCAATTTATATATTATTCAAAAGGTGTCCACTTTATAACTGGATTAAAGTTAAACGTCGGTCCGGTTTATACTTGAGTCAAAAGGTAAACATTATTCCGCGTTATACGTGAGTTAAAAAGCATATAATGCCCTGGTTCATACTTGAGACAAAAGTTAAACATTACTCGGGATTATACATGAGTCAACAAACATTCGCCAGAAGTACCCTTTTTGTGGAACGGTATCTTACCTCTCTTTAACGGATTCAGAACGTTCGCTGATATAATTAAATAGAAATAAACAAAGTCACAAGATACGGGACATCGCAGAGATACTCCATATATCTCATATAAACATTGTAAGGCATTTGAAAACACTTGGTTACGTGGATCGCTACAATGTTTGGGTGCCTCAAAATTAAATTGAAAAATATATAAATGAACCGCATTTCCATCTGCAATTCTCTGTCATACGTAACACAAACGTCTCATATTTTGAAAAGAACTATCACAGGCAGTGAAAAATGAATTGTTTACAACAATGTGGAGTGAAAATGGTTTTAGGGAAAATAAAATAAGCAGATGACCAGAGCCTGGCAGCTGATCTCTCCTCTGACCTAACTTTAACAGCTCAATAGGGGAAAACTAGCCGGTCTCATTCATTCGAAAACCAAACTTGTGATGTTCCATCATCACAGTGCGGGCACGGGCCCTGTATTTTCCCCATTGCGATGAACAGGAGGCCCCGTACCATGAGCATCTATTAAGACTTGAACTCAACCCACATCAATTGGAATTCATACATATAATCTATCGCTAACGGTGGTGGAAAAAATGGTCGATTCCCTGTTTCGATCCAGTAAATATCTACCTCTCTCGTTATCTTCCTTTACAATAGCGAGGTCAAAAAATGGAGTACTGCTGCCATATATGGGCAAGAGCTGTCAGTCTTTCCAGTCCAAAAACGTTTCCACGTCCTCGGGGGCGACCAATTATTTTCAACCCTACAACCACTTTCCTACAAACGAAAAGTCGCCTCACGCTGTTCTATCGCTATTACCATGGAAAGTGTTCAGACGAACTACTTTGCCTAGTTCCACCCGTTCAAACCTTCACGTCTAAGACCCGCCATGCCACGCACATTTCAGCGAACCACCGTCATTCTCTTCGTTTACCACTGGTGAGGTGTAACTGTTGCTTTGTGGAACCGACTCCCAAAACGATGCTTCCCTGATTACTAAAGTCTTCGCCTGTTCAAGTCTAGGGTCATAACTTCCTCACATATCCACATAAACTCTGGCTCTGACTCTGTAATCCTCTACTTCGATTGGTTTTGGTGCTTTGTACAGAGTGAACATCATCATGAAAAAGATCAGATCAATCACAACTACTAGGGAACTTTCACTGTGTTTCTTTAATAAAGGACGTTTTTTTTTACCTTTTTTAATTATAAGTCCCACTTTTGAATGAATATTTTATCTTTACCCAGCTTAATTTTTATTAGGGGCTCAAAATAATATTTTGAACGAGACTTTATACCCTTCTTTGCTTTTCAATTTTAAATTAATTGGAAATAAATTCTTTCTGTTCAATTTCACACCTAGTTAGTCTCCATTTCTTATGCACCTAATAACCCCCCAAAATTTATTTCATTTTTTTTTCTGTATGGGAAATGCGTATTATTTAATTTTTAAAAAATTCGCACATGTTCGAACAATGTTATTTTTCACCACTTTGAAATGATAGTAGCATGATTACCAAAATTTATACAATGCAAATCTCTTTTCTCAGATATTGCTAAAGTGTGCGCCGTCATTTGCT